TGGGACGCCACCACCCCTGCCATCCCTGGGGCACGCCTGGGGCAGCCCCTCTGCCCACAGGGGCTGCAGCTGTGGGTGCCAGCTGGCATTGCCCGGGGACCCTGCAGCGGCCGTGGGGTCCCACAGGAGCGGGGGGTCTTTGCGGGTGCTGGTGTTTGCAGGGTGGTTGTATGAGCCCCCCCAGCTGGGGGTCAGAAAGGGGTGCGGGACGCGGGGCGGAGGCAGGCTGGCTCTGGAGGTGACGAGCACCCCGCGAGTGCGTCAACATGCGTGTCACTGCCCACACGTGTGGCACGCACCCAGCTGCCGGGCACCACGGCAGGACAGGGAGGAGAAGGGGGGGCCTGGAGGGCACCGCAGGCTGCCCGGCACCCGGCTCAGCGGGGGCAGGGGGTCTGCAAGCCCCATCCTCGCACACCAGGCGCATGGCACGCAGGACCCCATCGGCACACGGAGACACGTGGGCAGCCACATCCCTGCCGACGGGCAGCACTGCTGCCGGAGCCGCTGCGGCGGTCCCAGCCCTGTGCCGGAGCCAGGGACGGGCAGGAGGGGGCTGGATTTCACCACCCTTTCTCGCAGCCCCGCTCCGGGGCACGGGGAAGTTTCTGGGTGCGCAGCAGCAAGGCCAGCACCTCCCTGCACCCCGGCTCGGACACTGCAGTCCCCCACCCTGGCACTGCCCCCCCCCCCCCCCCCCCCCGGCGGCGCCGGGAGCCCTCGGTCCAGCCACCCTCTGGGGGCTCCAGGCTGGGCCGTGGCGGCGGATGTCCCCCCCGGTGGGGGCTGCGCTGGGACGGGGCTGGGGTGGCTTTGCCAGGGTTGGCAGGGGGATCGCTGCAGTTTTTCAAGCATCCTGGAGTATCTGCAAATGCAGCGGCTTTGGGGGGGGACCACGGGGAGCCCCCAAGGGCTTCAGTCACGGGGCGCAGCCTCCGGCGCAGTCACGGTCCCCGGCAGAGAGCCAGCGGCAGGGGGGGCAACCACTGCAGCTGGGGACCCTGAGCTCGGGGACGGTGCACACAACTGGGTGATCTCATCCATGGAGCGGGTCGGTGCTGGAAGTACCGGGGATGTCCCGCTCTGCCAGGGCCCCTTGCAGAGGGGAGACTCCCCCCAGGCCCCCAAACCCACTGTCCCTGGCCAGGCAGAGGGTGTGGGGCACCCCAGGGAGGCAGTGCGCAGGCTGGCCTGGGTCCCCTCGCTCCTCCGTGCCATGGGGCATCTCCTGTCACCCCTGGACAAAGCCACAGCACGCTCCAAGCACAGTCCCCCCTTACCAACCCTTCGAACCCCACGATGCACAACAGGGGGGACAGCAGGAGCTGGGGCACTGGGGGCAGGGGTGAAGGTGTCCCCCAGCTGGAGCCGGGACCCCTCTGGGCACAGGGTGGAGAGAGAGCAGGGGGCCAGGGTGCACAGAGCCCCCCGGGGAGGGCAGGGGATGGGGTGCACGGAGCCCTGAGCCCCACGGGGAGGGCAGGGGATGGGGCCAGCCGGGGCACAGGAGGACATCGGGCTGTGGCGCGGTGAGCCCGGCAGTGCAGGCGGTGAGGGCTCCTGGGCGGCTACTGCAGTCGCGCACCCCAGCCGATGCCACCAGCCCTGCCCGGGGATGGCACCACTGCCAGCCCTGCCCTCGCCCTCGGCCCTCGGCCTGCCCAGGAGACGGGGATGGCACCACTGCCAGCCCTGCCCTCGCCCTCGGCGGCTTTTCCCGGCAGAGCCGGTGCTCACGGTGCAGGTCCTGGCCCCGATGGATGCACGGCACGGCACAACACAGCACAAGCCCCTCGCAGCTCTGGCAGCAGCTCCTGCCCTGCTGCCAGCATCCACTGGCCCTCCCAACACGGGGCAACAGGCCTGGCATGCACGGGGTGCCAGGGGGCTCAGGATGCCCCAGGTACTCGGGGGTGCTGAAGTCCACAGGGGCCCCCGGGATACCCAGGCTACGCAGGGGTAGGGGTTACCTGGAGGCCCAAGGAGCCCAGGGCATGTGGGGCACCTGGGGTGCCTGAAGTACCTGGCAGGTACCAGGCACCTGGGACGCCCAAGGCATCCAGGCTGCCCAGGGATCCCGGGGTGCTGAGGGTGTGGGGTGCCCGGGGTGCCCAGCGTGCCCGGGGTGTGCAGGGTGCCTGGGATGCCCATGACACCCAGGATGCCCATCGTGCCCGGGATGCCCACAGCACCCGGGATGCCTGTGGAGCCCATGGTACCTGGGATGCTCGTGGTGCCTGGGATGCCTGGGATGCCCGGGATGCCCGCAGTGCCCGGGCTGCCTGTGGTGCCCAAGATGCCCGCAGCGCCCAGGATGGCCGTGGTGCCCGGGATGCCCGCAGCACCTGGGATGCCCGCGGAGCCTGGGATGCCCGCGGAGCCCCTTACCTCTGCGCCGCCGTGCTGGCGTCCAGGATGCCGGTGCCCTGCAGCCAGC